ATTAAACTATTATCTCAAGGTTTCACTGTAAAACCTTCCTGCAAGTTTATTACAGTAACTACTAATCAGGACTGCAAATTGCGATATCAGCGTTAAATGCATCTAAGATAATTAACAAATAATCTATTAGTAATACCTACATAATTAAAAATCAGTGCCAGAATTCAGCTAGTTAAATATATTTGAATTTAAAAAAAAAAAAAAAAAAAAAAAAATTATAATTTCAGACTTCGTAAATTTTTTTTCGCAATTTACCCGTAATTTATTTCATATTGTCTACCAGCAGCTTCCAATCGTATTCTCAAGTTTGTAAAACTACTACCCGTGCTTTTGATCACAACCTTTTAGTTCAAATGTTTTTCTTCGAATCCGTACTGCTTTATTAGTTTAGATTCATGTTGGCTAAAGTTGTATTAGTAAAAAAAAAAAAAAGACTAACGTTCAAATCAGAGGCAAGTGCAGAATAGTTTCTAATAGTGAAGCTTTTTTTTTCCACTTTTCAGTTCGCCTACTCCTTTTAAAATAAAATCACTAAAAATACCACTTGTCATCAAAGTGCTCTGGTTCCTATAGTAAGTTACGGGTGTCCTATACTTAGTTCCGCACTTTCACACGTCAAGGTTTTTCTACTTTTGCCAGTAATCAACAGGATCTTTATCTTAGTTGTTTCATCCTTAATGCATGAGTAACTTGTTTTTTCAGTTTCTTAGAAACCGCTGTTCCACTTTTACACAGTCTGACATACTCTAACAGACCAGTTTCCATCAGTGATAAATTTCAACACACTGACCTTTACCAGTAGAGGTAAAATCTTTTCTATCCAGTTAGCAACTGCATTATAATCTACAACTTTCTTTTCACCATACAGTTTCCGATGAAGTGTTATTTCTCACTTTCCTGTTTGTTAGGTATCCATCAGTTGGTCTAAAATTTGCTCCCAACACGTTAATTCATTCTATAGCTTTTGTAGTAAACAGCTCTAGAAATCGGGTCAAATTAATTTGCATATTTCTGGCAGTAACCTATGCATAGAAGTGCAGTTTTATATTATCTTAATTAAATACAATTTTCAGTTGCAACTGAAATATTAACGAATTAACTGCAGTGGGCATTGGTTTTAACGTTAACTTAGTGAGCATATTCTTTATCATTATACTTTTATGCTGATAGCCAGTAAATATGGACCAGGTAGGAGAATTACAGTGGCTGAAATTTTGATTAATCTTTTTATTTAAGCACCATGTATTTGAATAATAAATATGCCGCAATCCGCAAGAAGGAATGAACTACTTAAATTGATGAACTATAAACAGCTTTCATAAGTACCAAAAGAATATTCTAAAACTGAAGAATCAGTTTTAGTGTTAATAAGATTTTTTACATGTTTTGAAGATTTAAATAATATCTGTTTTGGAAATTTAAAAGTGTTATGTGGCTGTTTTATTAAGCAGCAAGTTTAAGAACAAATTGCAAGTACTTTATTTCTAATTCTAGGATTTGAATTCAAAAATTAAGCAGACATATTACTTCTGTAGCATTGAACAGATTTATGAAAAATTTATAACTGGCTTTAAGGGCATATCAACATCTGAAAGAAAACTAGTAAAAATCTTACTTTTATGTATGTTGTTGCAGCAAAGGTTTTAATTTTTAGACATTCAGTAATATTTTTTGCAATAAAGCATGAAAATTAATTTTTCACCAAATGAGAATTCAATAACACTAATTCAAATTTTAATACATTTACTAAAGTTGTTTAATTAACAATATAATAACTTTTCCCATACCATATCAAATTACATTTTCTAAACTTGTAGAGACTAAGTATTTTTGGAAGCAGGCAAGATGAAAAATAAGCAACCGCCTTTACCGGGAATCGAACCGTGGACCTCTGGAATATGCGCCCAGCCTGCAGACTACCACACCACGACGGCATGACAAGGCGGTAGAAATACCTTATATACTCCCCTTTTTAAAGGCATATCTGCCAACCTCTAAAGATAAAAATTCAGAAGATTTCTCCAAAATTCAGAACATGAAGAATTAATATCATGCTTTGATATTAAAAAAATAATTTATACAAATAGAAAAAAGAAAATTGTACTTTTGAAAATTGTAAATAGTAAATTTCAATTAAGTAGTAACTAAAAAATTTATTAGGAAACATAAAGCAAGAACTTAACGTTACACAAAAAAATTATTGCAATGAATTTAGAGTGCATTTTTTGGCTTTAGCCAAAAATCTTTGGAAAATTTCCTGTCATAACAATTAGTTTCCTCATAACATTTAGCAATTAAATGTTTTCTAGAGTTTTTGGTGAAATTGAAGAAAGAAACATAGTTTTGTTTTTCTTCACAATACTGAAGACTCTCTCGCACTCAGCATTACTGTGTGGAATTACGAGAATAGCACATAAAACTCTTGTTAGTCTATCATATTTTGGTGTGCCATCAGCTCTTTTTAAGGTACCAACGAGGACATCAGGTCTATCTTCTCCAGAACTGGCAAAGTCTTCAAACTGTGCAGCAGAAAATTGGTTCTGTAATTCATCTAAAGCATCATTATGGCATTCATTTTCTTTAATTGTTAAAAAATGGAAATTTATCAATAAAAAAAAAAATCTTTTCAAAAGATGAATTTTCAATTTGTTTCAAAATTTGCCACTTCAGCATTTAAAAGAACTTCATTTTGCAAAGGAAACTTCCTTACAATGTAATCACAGGCTGAGGAGAAGTACTTTCTAACACATTGAAAAAATTCTTTTTTCTCATGATCTTTCAAAGAATTTACAAGCTCCCTGGTTTGATTTCCAATTATAAGATCATTGCCATCCGTTTGATTTGCCAAACTATTATAGGCAATATAAAACAACACATGTTTTTCACAACGGACGGCTTTACAAACTTAGTTAAAAGTTCTTTCAAAAGATCATTAAGAATTTGGATACACAGGGCAGATTTTGGCGAAGCTGATTGTAGAAGGGTATTTAAACTTTCAAAAATCTTAATGGTACTTAACACAAATCTGCAATATGCTTTGTTCAAATCCGAAGAAAGAACATAGAAAATCCTTTCCTCCGGCTAATAGAAGACTGTTTCAACAAACGATGAGGATGCAGTAAACAAACACTCTGCCAAAATGACATCGGCATCCGAATTCGTAGCCGAATTTGAAAAAAAAATCATCCACTTTCTTTGACGTTGTCGAAGCCGAAGCATTAACTTCATGCTTTTTAGACTTAACATGCTTCACAATGTCGCTTCTTCCACCGTGACTTATTATGAAGTCACACACGCACACGTTGCAAAATGCATAGTTATTTCCTTTGAAGGATTCTTTAATTGTTGGAAATTCGGCTTTGTAGGCAGGCCGAAAATATTGAGAATACGGTTTTTTTGAACTCATTTCGTAACAACGACGACGTATTAAGAAAATTCGTAGCACGTGCAAACAAAAAAAAAAAAAAAAAAAAAAAATGCGACAATCCACGCTCGCTGAGTCTGAGCTGAGTAATTCCCTTGCTGCTGAAGCGAACGCGAAAAAAATAATCTGGCGCCCACAAAGAAAAGAGTGGGAGAAACAAGTTCAGCGCATTGGATTGGCTGGTTAAGCGGCGAGTTGGGAGAAACCGCAGGTTACTGGATTCGAAGTAGTCGGTAGTTGGCGGTAAAACACGATGCAATTGGCGAAAATCGCTAAATTGGCAAAAAATTCTAAAATTTCGACAAAAATCACTAAAAACACTTGAAAAAGGAAAAAAATCGTAAAAAATGGATTACGATCGTAAAACAACGCATTTTCGTAAAATACGAAATTGTAAAGTTGCATATTAAAGGGCAACGGGGCTCGGGCCCAAGCCAAAGACATCAAACACCTTTTTTTAATAAAGAAAACATGTATGTGAAATCAAATCAATACCCCTTTATTAGCGTACATAATTACACGTCAATGATTTCGAGGGCAGCTAAAGGTCCCTCCTCATCAGGACAACGAAATAACTAGAAAGGGGGAAAAAAGAAGAAAAATAAAGCATCGGGAAAGGAGTCTCAGAAACACGTGGCTGTTATCAGCACTGCACGTGGTCATAACCAGATTTTGAATCAGTTACACTGGCCGCTTTCTTTTAGCTGCCCTTGAAATCAATCGAGTGTTTTAATATATGTATGCTAAATACAAGGTTGTTATTGCGACTTTGACTCTTTTTTAGTTCAGGCGCCACTGTAAAGACAAAGCCTGTAAAGAACTATTTTTTGGAAGCTTGGTTTGGTTTATTAGATTACAGCAAAGCACTCGAGGGCTATCTGCCTTAAGGGAGGGACGCCTTCGTGGAGGACTTTTTAAGGGAAACTGGCTCATATATGCGTTACACATGGGAAAAGCCACGAAAACAACCATGCAGCCAGCCCGTTCGCAGGATTCGAACCTCGGACCAAACTACCGGTGTTCAGCGGCGCAACCGCTCGGCCGCTGGTGGGCTATTTTTTGGAAGCAAACAAGATGAAAAATTAGCAATACCTTCACCGGGAATCGAACCGCAACCTCTGAAATATGCGCCAAGCGTGCAGACCACCACATGAAGAAAACGGGAGAAATACCTTATAAACTTACTGCATCTATTAAAAATTCGAGACATTAACCAATTTGTATTTTTAAGTTCTCGTAAAATTTGTTTCATAACAGAATAAATTTTGCAACTGCTGGTAAAAGAACAAGTTACTCAAGCATTTACCTTTGCTTAGCAATATCACAATATACGTACATGTCTAGATTTAAATATTTGTTGCAGTGCACTTGATTTCCCTAAACACTCAAAATTGCATTAATTATGTTACATTTTACACTTCCTTACTGTTTCGTTAAGTATATGTTAACAAATTAAGTTTTAAGCACTTAATAAAAAAACAACTAGTATTACAACCAGATTGTCAATAATTACAGACAATCTGGTTGTAATACTTAAAATAATAGTATTTTTTAATAAAGCAATAACATCACACAATGGTATTTATTATTTTTTTTTAATTCTGCTGTATTCATACAAGTTTATTTCAATGGAATGAATCTGGATGAATGGGTAGCACCAATACCAGGTCTTCCATGTTTTACAGGTTTGTAGGTTATGCTAAATTCTCCAAGATAATGGCCAATCATTTCAGGCTGTAAGAATAAATAATTTACATATGAATATATGAAACCAGCTCCTAAACAACATAGCATATTTTAAAAATTAATAATCAAATAAAAACAATATGAAAAGTTGAAAAAAATGAAATTAAAGTAAATTAACACAAAAAGAATGTCAATCTTACATAAGTGTTAAATATTAGTTGATAATTCCTTGGCCTCTGTTCAAGAGCAGTTGCAAGAATCATCAATAGAAGCACATTTTTTAATTCTATTTCAGAAAAAAGTATTTCTACATTTTCCTGTTCCTTTAATTAATTCTACATGATGTAATTCATATTAATTACATATTCAATTTTTAACTATTACATATATATATATACACACACATTTACATATAGACAGATAAACATAAATGCAAGCATATGTATAACAGTAAATTTGAAAAGATTACTTACTGCATTATTTCAGAAAATTATTTTTTCTCAACTGCAGCAAATGATTAATTTGCACAAATACTAAAAGTAATACTTTGATATACGAGGTGTATTCGGAAATATTACGTTTTGAGAACAAAAATAACCATTTTTTTCAAAATCCAATTTTATTTTACATGAAAACAGTCTAAACTATTTTAACATAGTTTCGCCAATGATCAAAGCTTGTCATAGCGGGTGATAATCAGACTCCACACATTTCGTGTCTCGTCAGATCCAAAGTGCTTTGCCACCAAGCTCACGCTTCATGTGCAGGAACGTTTGATAGTCGGACGGCGCCAAGTCCGGGCTGTACGGGCGGGTGATCGAACCGCTCCCAATGAACTGCCCGAATTAACGATTGAGTGACACCAGAGTATGGGCCGAGCATTGTCGTGGAGCAAACACAATTCTTTATGAGTTTCCTTTTCGTTTGTTTGAATGGAACACCTTAGTTTTTTTAAAGTCTCACCTATCGTGCCGCATTAATGGTTTCACCTCTGGGAAGAAATTCAGTAAGCAAAATGCCTTCCTATCCCCGAAGACAGTGCACGATTTTTTTGTGATGACCATTGTCATTGAACTTTTGTTTTGTCGGAGAATGGGGTCTCCACTCTCTATTGTTGTTTCGATTCTGGTGTGAAACACACTCAAGTTTAATCACCCTTCACATTTTGGTTTTAAAAGTTTTCTCCCTCATCACGTACCGGATGAGAAATGTCAGGGCACTACCAAGTCGCTTTGTTTGTGAACATCAGTGAGCATTTTGGAACCCATCGGGAACACAGTTTGTGATAATTGAAGCGGGTCAGACCACATTTCAAACAAAACAGTACGTAAATTTGTGGAAATGCCTCTGAAAGAGTTGTCATTGTGAAGCGTCTTCTCATGAATGCTTCATCAACTTCCTTACCATCATTGGACAACAGAAGGCCGGGTGACATTTGTTCGACCTGCATTAAACATTCTTACCCACTTTTCCACATTCCTCACTATTGCGTATTACCGTAAACTTGTATTTATGATAAATTTCGCCGGTTAAACCCCGCATTTAAAAATTAATCACGGATTCACATCAGCGGGAGAACTAATTGTCTTAAACATTTTGAATGTGCACAGCAAACTGAAAACACAACACAGAGCAACCAAAGTGATCAAGAAAGACTAGTGCACATGCGCGGGACGCCTACCACAGCGCTAGAATGAAACGGTACTTAGTTTCCGAATACACTACGTATAAAGCAATATGTGACGTTTCTAAAGCTGGTCAAGATTTATGCAACAAAAGAACATTAAAAACTATCCCTTATAATTTAAGTCCCATCTAAAGAACACATCACATCACACAATGAAAAACATATCACAGTGGAACCAGTAAATAATGAAATTACATTTTGTTAGACAGCACAGATAGTCAATAGACAAGATATTCTAATGAGAATGGATATATTCTGCGGTTAAATAAATTTGTTAAAATAGTTAAAAAATATGTCCACACATTATAATCCTCTCCATTAAGGAATAACACTGAATGAGCTGTTATTGGCATCCTCTGATAACAGAACTTTTGGCTTAACAATGGAGTTCAAACAAAACTGCTTTTCATAGTTTCATAATTCTTATAACATGACAGTTCCAAGTTAAAATGTGAACATGAATAGGTGTAAATCAAAACATAGTGAAAATAAGATCTCTTTTAAGCTATTAATGGTTCTGTCACTGAAGTCGCATTCAGAAATGTGTGTATAAGCATATATGTGTGTATATATGCAACATAGATAAACACATATATGCATACGTACATACATTTCTGAATCTGGTCCTGATAGAGTATCCTATTAATTTATATTTACCACCTGAAACATGAGACTAAGCAAATTTTTCAATTAACATCCTAATTGTGCCTCTTTTTTTTTTTTTTTTTCCTTCAATTTAGGACAGCCTCATTTTGCCCATCGATAGATACATGAATCTGGCAATCCACTAGACAAGCATGTGACATACAGGGTGAGAATACCAAAACCTCCAACAGCTACGTTTGGCACAAAATATTTCTACCGTGTTCACTCAAATACGAAAAAATGAAGACATTATACTAATTCCAATTATTTTAAGCAATAACTTTCTTCAAAAATATTGAACACATAGTATCAGTGAAGGACTATAGTACATTTTTAGAAAGCCAGTTTTCTACAAAGAGCAAAATTTTGAATATAACTTTAAAGTAGTTTTCAACTCTAATATAGGTTACATGAGATTAAATATTGCATTTCCAGAGTTTTTTTTTTTTTTTTTTTTCCTTTTTAAAAGGATACAGCTTCATACAGTGACTATCTGAAAAATCCTACAGTATTATTTTGAAAAAAATTACATGATTTTAAAGTTTTTTCTTATAATTACAGGTATATATTTTTTTCTTTAACAACTCAAACACTTCCATTTCTGTCAGTATACATATACATTCCACTAAGATTCAGAAACATACGAGAGCCTTTTGAAAAACCAGAAAAACCCAAAAGCATACTGTACCAGACTTTTAGGTTTTTACTTACAAAATGCATTGTAAGAATATGGTTAATGCTGAGGTTACAGCTAATTTGTGACCACATATAAGTATTCACATTGCTGTACCATGCAATTATAGCATGTTGCTTTAATCATCTTTAGAAACAAAAGGATTCTTGGGGGGAAAAAAGTAGAAAATGCTGAAATTCATTTTTGACACAAATATAATTAAATGTAACATCGTTAAAAATGCATTCAAAAATAAGCCTTTTTAAAACAAACTTCCCCATTTCTATCCAATAACAAGTTGTAACCAAAATGCCGGTTTTACACAACTTTTAATGTGGATACATCATCAGCTTTGAAGAATATATGGAACTGAACAAAAATGACTCTAAAAAGAGAGGCAGGTTACATGCCAAGAACCAATTTTACTCTTTGCCTTGTTTAACACACTATAAATCTATAAACAGAATTACAGGTAACACCAAGGCACTATATAATTTAACTAGTTATTTTAAAATATTCCATGTTTAACGGAAACAAAACAAAAAAAAAAAAAAAAAAAAAAAAAAAAAAAATTACATGTTTTAAGCTTGTTCAATTACATTCAAAAAAATTTTTAAAAGATTTGAATGTATTAAGCTGATCAGACACAAACTTATAATACTTTGACATACAATACTTTAAATGTCAGCAATATTCATTGCTCTAATACGAATTTTCTTTCTCTAATACGAATTCGCTTTTCTCTAAAATGAATGCAAGGCTTAATCTATGGAATCAAATTAATATAACATACTAGCATGGATGCATAAAATGCCTGTGGAACAATTTAATCATCACAGGGAAAATAAGATGAGTATAACTCTACAAATGCACTTAACTGTAAAGAAGGTTATAGTATAAGCTATGCCACTTTTTCCTGTTGAGAGAGCAGAATGTGATTTGATTGAAAGGGGGAGCTTTTCTTACAGATGTAATATTGTTTAAATAATTAATATATTGTAAATAGATTATGTTATGTATGATAAAAGAAAGAATCCCTTAAACAATAAGATGTAATGAAACCAATGGAGTGATTAAAATAATTTCAATCTCATCCTTCACTTTATTCTATTTTTCTGAACAATTTGACAGCTATTTCAAACAAGTGCATCCATTTTTTTAAAATGCTTAACACTGTAAACACAGAACGGAAAGAGCTCACTAACACTTGCCTTGTCTGTCAGACAATAATTCAATTACTAAAATACATATAACAGACAATTAAATACAAAAGCTTTTGTTCGAAGATAATCTTTACATAAAAATCTAATTTAGTGATTTAAGCAAATCAACTTGATAAAATTCAATAGTGTTACAATGAAATATGCTGTACATTCTTCAAACCTGTTGTTATAACTTAATCAACACTCAGAACAATATATTTGTTGTTGCCTTGCCTTATGCTCACTTGTCTGATGTAGTCAGCCCAAGCCCACGAAATTCCTTGTGGCAAGGAGCGCTAGATTACGCCTGCCATTGGAAACAGCCTTGAGCACAATTCAGGTGGCAGCATGATTTAGCTCGCCCCCAATTCTGACGAAGAGGTGGATGGGTCCGAGGGTCTCTCACCCCTCTCCCCTTCCAGCAAACCGCACGAGAGTTTTCGACTTGCTGCATATTTAGAGTCTTGCGATGCTAAACTGACACTATAAATTTATAAACATGCATGCCTTCTCCAGAATTCGAACTCGGGCCTTTCACCATGGCAGTCAGAGATGCTAACCACTATACCAGTTGGGCAACTCATGTAATATTTAACCAACATGTGTCTACAGGTTTAATTATAACTTTTACATGACATGCATTTACAATTTAATTGTTTATTGAAAAGAAACTTTCACTGTTTAAAAAAACTTCAATAGTTGAGGATACACAAATAGAAAAATGTAGCTTTGCAAAACAAATGACTAAACCCATTCATTATCAGCTTTACCGTATTACAAAAGCTAAATGCTTCACATAACAGGAGTGGAACTTAATTACTAGACACATTTTAAATGTTTTTCCAATTAAATCTGATTCTTTTCTATTCCCTGGAACATTCAGTAATGAACAATCTAACCTGAATTACACAAAAGGAATATAGAGACAGTTATGATTCTGTAGAGATTATGTTTCAAACATTATTCTCATTATGTTTTAAAATCAACATTAATAATTTATTATTGAAAAAATTTAAATCCTGCATAAAAAATTAAGCAATATTATGTTGTATTATTAAGTCAAAAAGCAACAAAAGGGTACTAAGATATTAAACACATTAATATGTATGGTATACAAACAGAGGAAAAATTCATTTCACAATGCATTCGGACTTGTCTGATCTTTTATAATAACCATCAATTAAATTTTACCTTATTATTATATAGTCAAAAAATGTGTCAGAATACCTACTACCAAACTCCATTTATAAAAAAATGGTGTTGGCAAATATCTTCATTTTTAATGTTGGACAGCTTCTACACCTCAATTCAAAAAATGAGAAGGAAAAAAAAAAAAAAAAAATGGGGTGACTCTAGTTTTTACACTTTTGTGTTTTATCTTGTGACCACAGTAAGGATCACAAGATAAAACACAAAAATGTAAAAACTAGAGCAATCCCATTTTTTTAAATAAGTAAGGATTAATGAAATTCAAATTTAAAGTAAGGATTAATGAAATTCAATAATTTGCTTTAAAATTCAGAGATAATTTTTAAAGGTAAGAATTTAGTTACAAATAATTAAATTAGGTAGTTAAAGACCCTTAGTCGTTATAGATTTACATGACTACTATTAAATTTTACTTATTTGTTAAAAACATTTGAAAAAATTATAACCCATGAACCCATTCAAAATATAATCATATTTATCAGTGAAAGGCCAAAAATATTCCTCCAAAATAATTCATACTCAAAATAGCAGTCATAAAATGAAGACAAATTTCAGATGATAAAAATTAAAGATCTTCCGACGATTTTGGCCGAAATTAAGGACTTTTAAGGGCCAAAAATTGATTCCAAAGAAACCTAAGGATTTTTAAATGACTGTATGAAAGCTAAATACTTAAATATCAGACTTAGCAATATTCATTTCAAAAAACATTCTACCTGCAAAACATGGATGCAAGTTGCAAACTTTGTCCACAGAATTAGTGATGAGAGAATAAGACTACTATACAAATGCACTTGGTAAACTGCACAGAAAGTTACACAGAAAGCTATGCCACTCTTATATGAAATGTTTCTGCTGAGACAGCAGGATGTGTTTTAACTGAGGGAAAGCCTTTCTCTGAAGAGATCTTATATTTAAATAAACTGGAGATTATGTTATATATGATAAAGGAAATAATTAAGCACAGCTCTTCTTTGACTTATCACAAGATGTAGCGATCCCAATGCAGCAATTTAGATAATTTCAACATGTACCTTCATATTTTAGAACAATTTAACTGCTATTTCAAGTAACTCCATCGAACAAAATTTTAAAAAATACTAAAGGACGAAAATACAAAGACTGCTTTTATGATTTATAAAACCAAACACTGTAAAATTATCACTAATACTTGCCCCCTTTGAGATTATAATTCAATTACTATTCCAAAATAATCACCGGAGAAATCTACTGTAATAATTTAAATCAGCGTTTCTTAAACTGCAAGTCACGACCTGCAGCACAGGGTCACCAAAAATTTAGCAGTTTTGATATATCTTATTAATAACTGTGCAATGATGAAATATTTTTACACAATGCATCTGAAAATAAATAAAGATAAGACAATACAGACAAAAAAAGGGGGGGAAAACATTTTGACGCATTCTTTTTATAAATGAAACGCTCATTTCACTTGCTTTCACTGTCATTTCGTCTGTAACTTATTTAAAATTTTCACATCATTCTATGAGTTAAAATTGAAGTTAATGACCTAAAACTGCAATAGGTTATTACAGTACAAGTGAAAAAATCGACAATTTCACATAAGCGTTTGTCAGATTTGTGCAATGATTATGGGGTCCCAATTTTCGGCCTTCTGGGTGTTGAGACAAAATCTGTGATAAAATGGGGTTTCGACTGAAAAAATTTTAAGAAATCCTGATTCAAACAAATCAATTAGATAGTATTCAATATTGTTGTAATGAAATATCCTAAATGCCCTTCAGACGTACTGTTAGAACTTAAGCAACACTAAACACAATGGAATATTTAACTAATATGTATGCACAGATATAATTATACCTTTCACATAACATGACTTCACAGCTTCATTGCTTATACAAAAGAAGCTTTCAGTGTTAAAAAAAAACTTTACGGTTGCAGATACACTATCATACAAATTAACTAATGTAAAACATACAACTAAACACACAGAGTATCAGCTTTATCATATTACAAAAAAGTGAGATGCTTCATATGGCAGGGGAAAAAATCAGTTATTGTAACAAAACTTTTTACCGATTTTTCAATTAGCCAAAAATGAAAAATTTTAATAACCTGGTCTTTATGATACACTGCAAAATTTTATGTTGAACAAACAAAATAGTCTGAATTTGACAAAAGAAATATACAGAAAACTTTGGTTTTGAAGAGATTATTAAAATCAGCATAATTTATTGAAAAATTTTAATTCTGCAGTATGCAGGGCTATATTACTTAATATAACATTTTACTCATTATATGTTACAATATTAAGATTCCTGGCATTGACTACACCATACATAAAATAATCAGATTTGGGTGATCTGTTACAATAGCATCAGTATTTTTTAACCTTATTGTTGCATAGTTAAAAACATGTGTCTGAAAATCTACTATCAAACCCCATTTATAAAAAATGGTGTTAGCGAAAATCTTCATTTGTAATGTTGCACAACTTCTACACCTATCAATCAAAAATGAAAAACAGGCTCTAGTTTGTGCATAGACAGCTTCAATATGCAACAAATTTTAATTTAGATATAGGACATCAAAATTCTGGAACTTTACTATTAGACAGGGGCAAAATAACTTATAATGCATAACAGTAAGAAATATGATAGTGAAAAATATGGTGTCCATCTTAAAAACTAGTCAATAGTCATCAGTCTTTTAGTCACATCTGAAATCAGATTGCTTGATGTAAAAATGGTTGCGCTCTGCCCACTACTAGAGCAACAATGGAGATTAGTTCCGAATTTCCCTCATACAAGAAAATGAATGCATACGAAAATGGAGACATTGGAAACTGAATAATTCTTATGCATCTAGTTACAAAAGTTTAGTATATTTTAAAAGCTTTGGAAATTTCTGCTACGATGATAGCAATTAACTATTACAATGCTTTTTTTAACATTTTTAGCAACACTTCCACTCCTTTACTAGGATGATTTCTTTATGTCAGGAATGCCTAAGAGTTTAAAGAAGTAGCTCAAAATAATTGAAAGCTAAGAAGGTTTACATAGGCTTTTGTTTTTGTGAAAGGCATGATGAACTGCACACAGCATATTATTATTTTAACATGTTACTTAATATTCACGGACAAAAGTATCATGTGAAAAATTTTTTTAAGAAATTAAAACATTGTTAAAATTCATTTTACCCACAAATAGTGTAAGAAATATGCATAAAAATGAACTTTTTAAAAAACAAATTTCACTATTTCCAGTCTAGAAATAAGTTTCATCCCAAAATGATTTCATTAATTCAGTTAAACAAGTTTGTTCTGTACAGCCATTTACATGGGTATATCATTAGTTTTAAAAAATGTGTGGTACTGAACAGAAATGGCTCTTTAAAAACAAACTATCTGCAAAGAACCAACTTTAATATTTGCCTTGTTTGACACACTATAATCCATAAAGAAAATTATAGGTAACACCAAGGCAGTACAAAATCTTGACAAATAATCTTTAAATTATTTCATATTTAATAAAAAAACAATGTTTTAAACTTGTTAGATTATATTCAAAAAGATTCTAAAGGTTAAAAGATATGTGGTTATATATAAAAGTGATCAGACATATTTATGTATGTCTAAACACAATATTTACAAAGAACTTTGCAGCATTCATTGCAATGAAACCATTTCCCCCTAATAAAGTCCCATACTAAACTCAGTCTACAGAATATTAATGGTAATAGATAATAAAATGAGTACAAGCATACATTATGCACCTCTTCATGCATTTTCCAGCAATTTGAGTATTTCAAGTAAGTGTCCAACATAAATTTGTGAAAGGAATTAATGCAGTAAATAAACTTTTTAAAAACAAAAGCCTGTAAAATATTTGCTAATAATCTGCCTTGTTTGGCACACTATGATTCAATTACTAAAATACAGATAACACCAAGACACTTAAAAAGGGTTATTTGTTAAAAGATAATTTGTTATCTTTGTTATATGGTTATTATTTAACCACATTTTTCTAACCTACACTCTGTGAATGAAATATTAATAGAACTTTTTATCAGTTTCTTCCAATTTTTGGAGAATTCAAGGAACAGTTTAACTGGAAAAAGACATCAAGATAGATTTAATTGGTACTATTCGTTTTCGAGGGCCGAAATATTGTTGATGCACAGTACTGCAAAAAATAATTGCGGCAACCCTAACGCAAGAAAGGAAGTATAATAGTAAATAACCATCCAAGATTGATGTTTTAATTTAGATGAAAGGTTAATTTCATATAATACTCTTATTATTATAATTTATATCAAAAATGCTGTTTAACTAAACAAATATTATTTTATGTATATATGCAGCATAAGAGTAAATGCAGCATGGAAGCATAAGAATAAATATATCAGATCATTATTATAATTTATATAAAAATTGCTAAACATAACTGAATGGATGCCTGCATCGCTATTTCACTACCGAGTTATCGCTAAAGCATAATTTCATCTCGTTGGTTATTCAAACATAATTTTCTACAATGAATGATGCCTTTTCTTTGAAAAAATTCTCGGTAAAGTGCAGAATCGTCCACTTATTTGTTTGCCGCTTTTTACAAGAGTAAAAGTAATTGGATTTTTGTCCATTTTCTTTTACTTTTTAAGTGAAAATAAGTCGATGTGTACATAGATAAAGTCAAGGGTTTTTTTTTTTCCTGCCATTTTTGTCCAATTCTCGGAATTTTTTGTAAGTGAAATAGGTCGATGTGTACATTGATACCGAGTATGTGCAATTCTTAAAAACATGTCAAGCAGAGGGTGATTCTGCACTTTACCCAAATTTCTATTGCAAACATTTCTTCATAGGCAATTCTCAAATTGTTAAATCCCAGAGGATCTCAAAAAAAAAAAAAAAAAAAAAAAAAAAAAAAAAAAATAAAATAAATTAAACTAGTATTTCAATGGCGTCTTAAGAAATATAGAACTATATAAACTTTCGCAATCTGAAATCAGCGTGTACCCTAGATTTGGCAAGCTGTTAAATGGGCGCGTTTGCTAGATTTGGCACTTTTGTGCATACATTTTTGCTGCAATTTTTCTACGGTCCTCGAAACAGAATAGTACCATTTAATTACATTTTTACATGACATGAATTTACAACTTCACGATTTACAGAGGAGCAACTTTTAAAGTTAAATAAAAGCATTATTGTTGAGGACACACTATCAAAAAAAAAAATGTAGCAATGTAAAACAAACAAATAAACGCATTCAGTACCAGCTTTACCATATTACGAAAAGCGAAATGCTTCACATGATAGTAAAAAAACTGGTTATTGTAACAAACCTTTTGATTTTCCAATTAAAAAAGAACAGTTTCAAAAACCTGGTTTTTACGATGCACTGCAAAATATAATGCTGAACAATCTAGTCTGAATTTTACAAAAGGAATGTAAAGAAAATTTTGATTTTGAAGAGATGACTCTAGCGTAGAATTGGGTGTCCCTTCGATTAGCGACTTTTTTTTTTTTTTTTTTTTTTTTTTAAATTTTGCCAATGAAACCACACTTCTGGTTACCATGATAGATTTAACTTTGTTTTAGCTTCCTGATTTTATTTAACCCTCTAAGCGGCAAAGCCCTATATATACGACTTAGAATAGTAATTGTGATATCTGTAAGAACGTATATATACGTGCATATTAAAATATGTCAACAAAATTAAGAAAATATTTTAAAATAAAAGAAATCCAGGTATGAAATACCAGGAGAGTTTTTGCATTAAAATCAAAAAATTATTTTTTCTCATACTAGTTTTGGAAAATTTGAGTTTTCTTAGCGAAAATCCTGGCCGCCCAGAGGGTTAAATGAAAAGAGATGTGTACATGGACAAATTTAAGGCAGTGCGCAATGCCTAGTTTCTGCAATTCTAGGATTTTTTTTTAAGTAAAACAGATCAATGTGTACATGGACACAGAGTTTGTGCAAACTTTTATTTCTTATTTTGGTTTTTTGTAGCGGTCATTTTGAAATTGTGCCTTCCTGCACTGATCTTGCCGTCAAAAAAGAATCGCCAGAAAATAAGGGACACCCAATTGTTTACTTTTACCGAATACATTATTCTTACATGAAATACATTTCATTCACTTTTTAATTAGTTTAAAATCAACATGACTAATTTATCGCAAAATTTTAATTCTGCATGAACCATTGGGCAGCACTTTATTACAATAAATTACAAAATAGCAAATATACATTAAGATATTGAAGCCCTTAATATTCATGGCACTGAGTATATTGAAACGTAAGAGAAATTTTATTTCACATGTCAGCTTTTTTTGTTTTTTTTTTTTTTTTGTTTTTTTTTTTTTGTTTTTTTTTTTTTTTTTTTTTTTTTTTTTTTTTTTTTTTCTGACCATAAAATAATCAGACCGGGCTGATCTGTAAGAATAACATCAATTCAATATCACCTGATTACTGATCACCTGATCACTAAAAACATGTGTTTGAAGATCTACTATCAAACGCCATTTATAAAAAATGGTGTTAGCGAAAATCTTCATTTGTAATGTTGCACAACTTCTACAACTATCAATCAAAAATGAAAAACAGGCTATAGTTTGTGCATAGACAGCTTCAATATGCAACAAATTTTAATTTAGATATAGAACATCAAAATTCTGCAACTTAACTATTAGACAAGGGCAAAATAACTTAATGCATAACAGCAAGAAATGTGGTAAGTGCCAAATATGGTGTCCATGTTAAAAACTAGTAGGAAAACTGGTAAATAGTCAACAAGGTCTTTTAGTCACATTTGTCAGTAGTCCTTTTTACTTCCTTGTATGAAGTAAAGGAAGTACTGTAATCACACAAAAAAAAATTCCAGGTACCATATTTCAAGGAAAATATTTAATTTTGACTTCTATTGAATGCAATTTAACGACGTTTTTGCATGACATCTGTACATACGGACAGAACAAAAGACCTCCCTCACCAAAAAATCATAAAACCAATTTAAAATTGATTCAAAAGAGATTTTTTGTGGTGTCTGTACATATGTGTGTATGTATCTTGCATAACTCAAAAACGAGTAGCCTCTGAACATTGAAATTTTGTATATATAGGACAGCTTAGGATGTAGTTGTGTACCTCCCTTTTTTATGGCAATTGGTCACACCAAAAGTATCTATATCTATACATATACACACTGTTACTTCTGCAAGCCCAGTTTTTTTATTCTTAAATAATGATAAATTGCATATTTTTTGCTTTAAAAATGATTGAATCATGTTGTTCTTAACTCCGGGTTACGATTTTTATGCCTTTAGTTAACTTGCATGCAATATTTGTAAAATTATAAATTTAAAAGTTGCTTAAGTGAGGTTAAGCCTAATTTTTTTTACCATAGCAGCCATATTCGTTTACATTTAAACTTAGCTGAATCATAGATTTGTTGACAATCTAAAACTAAACTTCACAACAACTTTTTTTTTGTCTAATTTCTTTTATACATCGCTTTAGATTTATTATAGTATTTGAATAGAACATGTGGCAACAAGTAGATAGTTTTTCAGATGCCATAATTTTTGCGCTTTACGAGTTATAAAATGAATGAGATGTAATGCTGATACACAAATAGAAAAATGTAGCTTTGCAAAACAAATGACTAAACCCATTCATTATCAGCTTTACCGTATTACAAAAGCTAAATGCTTCACATAACAGGAGTGGAACTTAATTACTAGACACATTTTAAATGTTTTTCCAATTAAATTTGATTCTTTTCTATTCCCTGGCACATTCAGTAATGAACAATCTAACCTGAATTACACAAAAGCAATATAGAGACAGTTATGATTCTGATGAGATTATGTTTCAAACATTATTCTCATTATGTTTTAAAATCAACATTAATAATTTATTATTGAAAAATTTAAATCCTGCATAAAAATTAAGCAATATTATGTTATTATTAAGTCAAAAAGCAATAAAAGGGTACTAAGATATTAAACACATTAATATGTATGGTATACAAACAGAGGAAAAATTCATTTCACAATGCATTCGGACTTGTCTGATCTTTCATAATAACCATCAATTAAATTTTACCTTATTATTATATAGTTAAAAAATGTGTCAGAATACCTACTACCAAACTCCATTTATAAAAAATGGTGTTGGCAAAAATCTTCATTTTTAATGTTGGACAGGTTCTACACCTCAATCAAAAATTAAAAGAGAAAAAAATGGGGTGGCTCTAATTTTTACATTTTTGTGTTTTATCTTGTGACCACAGTAAGGATTAATGAAATTCAATAATTTGCTTTAATATTCAGAGATAATTTTTTAGGGTAAGAATTTAGTTACAAATAATTAAATTAAGTAGTTAAAGACCCTTAGTCGTTATAGATTTACATGACTACTATTAAATTTTACTTATTTTTTTAAAAACATTTGAAAAAATTATAACCCATGAACCCATTCAAAATA